AAGTTTGCGCTTTTACCAGAAGTTCCATGATAAAAAAATAAAAAGTAAAATCACCGCTACCTGAAGCACAAAACCGTCTTTTAAATCCATCAGTCTTCTCCACTTTTGGAACAGGGCAGTTGATCTGTTAGAGTGAGTTAACATGCAGCTCGGCACTCACTAAGGGATCGTAGTAAATGCTTGTAATCTTAGTAAATGATGTGCAACAAAACCATCAAAAACACATGTAATCTGTCAGCGTGAACATGCAATTCAGCGCTATTTGGCATCTTCGTGAACCGGGCACTGAATTTGATGTTTGGCACTAGTGTCAGTTCTCATGTCAGTTTTCAAAGGTGTGTGCTGATAATTATCACACTGAATACTGATATGTCAGTATTTTGCGTATAATAATTTAGGGTTCATTAAAAAAAAAGGGATTTTTTTTTTGTGGCATATCACGTAAATGGCAAATGCAAATATTTTTAATACTGTATAGGATTATTTTAGTTGTCAGAGCATCCATATGCAGATTGAGTTGCAGGGGATTGCCTACCATGCCATGCTAACAGCCAACCCACACATTCAAACACAGCTGTAGTCTTCCATGCATTCTTACATGTAACCATGACTGGAAAATAATACACCCACTCATGCATAAGCACATTAAGAAGGACTGGTGAATGAATGTGATTCTACTTTTACAATGGCCTGCAGATATCGTATGGCCTACTCGTGACTCTGTCAGAGAGTGCATATTTTTCAAAGCAATGTCAGAAGCACATTTGTATCTAGTGTGTGTGTTTCTGACCCATGTCAAATGAACAAACAGCCAACAGTCCAACAGACCAAAATGCCCATCCCAGGGTGTTAACCTTCGATTCTTGTCAGCTCATTAATTCGTAATGGTCAACTCTGGCTGGCCTCTATTCATTCTCCGATTATAAAACACACACACACACACAAATGCACACACATCATTTGCATGGAGAACAATATCATACAAACATATCTGACAATCCATAAAGAGTGATTTATACCTTTGCCAGAGAGGTTTTCTTTTTACCTGAGTGTGTGTGTGCCCGGGCGTGCATGCGTTCGGTGTGTTCTTGAATGTCGATTGTTACACCAAACCTGTCAGGTCGATACAGGTTAAACTGGGTGTAGGGGTGTCGTAAAGGCCAAGCAAGAATATATTGACTGTTGGTGCATATGTGTTTAATAAGCCGTAAAACTTTAACATTTGAGTTGCCTGGGGTTTGCATTCTCAGTACCTCTCTATCAGCGCCATTAGAAAACAGTAGCCCCGCATAAAGAGAACTCCCTTTGGCGTCCCAGTCTTATGAAACCTCCAGTCTGACAAGCCAGCACTTCCAAATGATCAGGATATACAATCATAACTAGAAATAGTCACCTGTACCATGCCAGCAAGGAACGTGCTCTCTACACAGACATTCTTTAGAAAGATTGGATGGCGGGGTGGGGTGGGGCATGAAATAAGTTTGTTAACCTAACTTACTTGTTGAGGTATCATTATAGGTGTAAAAGAATGTAGAAGGCTTCTCTCCGACCATCTGATACAGACTACTATTAGCATATATTGAATGAATAGACCTTTAAGGGAAAGTATACACAGCTCTATCAAATCCAGTACATCTATGGGTGATGGTGTGTAGGTGCAGAGAATGCCCAATAGATTAGTTCTATTGAAAGCATTTCTCATCTAGTCTTGGCACCTTGATGTGGAGTGTAACAAGGAAGGCCAGAGTGCAAGAGAGATTCTGAAACGCCGAAGCCTAAGTCTCCCTTATTGTGGAAGGCTTAGCAGCTTTCTCAGTAGATTTGGTTTGATATAATGAAACAAGCAAGACAGGAACCAAAATAACCTTCATTCCTTTCTCCCCAAATGACAAAAAAGCCAAGAAAAGGATGAATACACATTAAATGACACACTGACATGCAACAGCGCACACAATACAATTCTTAGACAGAAGCTGTGACAGTGACAGAATTAAATGGAGCCAGACTAATCGCATAGAAGTGACATTGGGTGTTACACAAGGACAGGTAACCAGCCCACACAGAAGGGTTGGGGTGGAGATTCCAAGCCAATGTAACATAAGTGGATTAAACATAAATGTTGGCCAGTAACTGATAATCAGACATACAACGAGTAATAACAATATAGCAATTAATATATGATATAATTAGTATATACTTTATAAATTGCACATGGGTGTTCGAGGTAATTCATTATTATATGTATTAAAAAAAATCACAGGAGCTCAATGAAAATTAAGTTTTGCTTAAATACAAGTAACTTGGCAGTCACATTTGCAGCAGTGTTTGGTGAGAAGGGATTCAAAGATTGAATGACTGGTATTAAACTGTGCGCCTGGGAGCGTGTGCCGCACGACTATGCTAAATCTCCCCAGACTTAATGCTTATTGCTAAATCTATAAATGTTCCCAATTAAGTGTGGGGCTTTAAATTTCTTCCACAGCCTCAAACAAATGAAGTCCTTAAATCATTGGCAGTGACTTAACTGCACATACATTTTATCCAAATGGAGTACGAACAGAATATAGATACAGATTTACATTGACATTGAACAGCATCACGACTGCATTGCAAAGCATTTCAGGTATTGGTAAATCGTAATTGTTTACATGACTATAGGTAAAACATTAATCACTAGATGTAATGTGTTTAACCAGTCTTAATATGGATTCTACTAGTAATGTTGTGCATCGTAAGCAATTTGCAGAGAGACGCTCATTCTGCTTTTCCGAGAAAAGTGTCACATGGAAGCACGCAAATGGCGTCAATCAAATGAATTGTCTTTCTCTCTCTTTATCAGGAGGTCTATATCCATGGGGGATTAAATTCCAAAAATTACATTTTAAAAGTTGTCTTTTTCTGTTTGTTAATGTCATCCATCTGATTGTGTGTGGATTTTTTTTTCCTTTCAATGGTCCATTTTTACCAAAACTAATTTATATGCTCAACTCAGCAACACGCGCATATAACATGATCCAATGGTCCGACATTTGGTTACTCATCAATCATCAGACATTTGTCAGGAAATACAGACAGCTGTTTTGCATTTGTGCCCCTTGTGTACACATTTCTGCTGGGGCCAGGAAACAAAGAGGATGGAAACAATAAGGAAATGAAGCTGGTGAGGTATTTTCGGGGGGATGACGGCTAGGAGGCTTTATCTCTTCTCGGCAGAACAGCTTTAATTCAAGGCCTTGCAACAAGTACCGGCGGCCTGCGCTTTAAACGAAAAACATTCATCTTAGCCGAAGACTAAGAAAAACGTGTAAGTGTCATGATTCTGAATGTTTATGTTTGAGTTTCTCCTGGAGTGGAGGGTGTTCCCTCCAGCGGTGCATGCTGTTTGATCTAGTGCAAAGTAAACTTAGCTGACCATCATTTGAGTAATATTTTTGGCTAACACAATTTCAAGCATACTTTCATATTTTGTTGTTGTTGTTGTTGTTTTTTTGTTTTTTTACTCAACTCTATAATATATATACTCTTATAATTGGCTCCATAGCAACACACTTAACAACGAAAATGCTCTTGTTCGCCAATCTCCAGCAAGTGACATCATCCACAGAATGCCTAGTCATCAGTCAGCCATTGTAATACATTGTTGATTGTCCCGTTAACTGCTCTTCGTCCTTTTTATCGAGTTATTCGGTGAAATATCTCGGCGTTGTGTGGCGACGCTCTGTTCACATTCAGCCAAACAGTTGTTTGAGTGGCCAAACGAAAAGAATCCGACCCATAAATGAACTAGAAAATTAGAACGACACAGTTTCGTTCTCACAAAGCAAATGAATTTCACGCTGGTGTCAATGAGCATTCTTTGTTAGAATCACTTAGAAGACCTCTGTTTTCTCAACCAGATATCCAAAAAAGGTAGGTGTGCTGATCAATAAATAACTCTGGCTGTTGTTTATGAAAACATACGATTCAAAGTATTGTACGTGTACCTGGATGTAATCCTGTACTAAAACAGTCAAACAATATGAGTTCATGGATGGAATCCTCTGTAATGGTGTACAACTAACAACGCTGCGAATACTTTGTGTGGAGTGGCCAACAACGCAACAGAACTAACTTGACTACAATGACAATGTAGGACACCAACCCACTATGACGTGCTAGCGGGAATACATGGACCAAATAGGTAATCAGATTGTGCGCAATTTACAGCAGAGCGCAGCATCGAATTGGAAACGATAACGGCAACCTAATAACCGCAGCCTATATACCTTACCATCCTTCCAATCCCAATGGGACGCATCTCTTCTCCATATCCGGCCGGTCATTGAGGTGCAGCATTTTCCGCATCCTGAGCATCTGGCTCGTACATGTATGGTCCAATATACATCTTGCCAACAACCTCCTCTTCCTCCAACTCTTCAAACACCTGAATACCCTCAGATAAATTAGAAACGTCGCTTTCTGAATCGATTTCTGACTGGCTTTGTACACTTAGTGAGCCCCGCGCGTGTGTGTGACGCCATACCTCTGGGTTTGACGCTCGTCAGGATCTCCTTTCAACAAAATGATTACTTTGTCCAACAAATGAAATAGAAATTATTTTTTCATTCCGACTACTGGATGTTGGATTATTCGGCCTTGGTCACGATTCTTGTTCCAAGTGCCTGTATGTTCTTGTCCTTCATGACTTTGCCTTGTAGTTTTCTCGACATGTTTTACATAGTATTTCTCTCTTTTTGTCTACTTTTATCTTTCTCTACGGTTGTGGAATCCGATTTGTTCTGGAGTACTCCGGAAGTCCTAACAGTAGATCACAGGAGCCTGAGAATGTGAAGAAAGAAAATACTATTCTATCCTGACATATTACCTGCTTCTGGAACTTGTTTCTGGTTCATTGTGGCTGACCAAGTCTCACCCTAACATTGTTGCTTCATATTTTGCTTTTCTTGGGTTCTCAAAGTTTTGAGAAAAAAACATGGTATTCTCTCTTTCTCTTTCCTCAGTTGATGGGTGCATCGACTGGTCAGTGGATCTGAAGGAGTACCATGTTCTGGCCGGTGAGCCAGCAAGGGTGAAATGTGCCTTGTTCTACAGCTACATCCGGACCAACTACACCATGGCCACAAATGCCAAACTGCGCCTCATCTGGTACAAGAACAAAGGGGATGCTGAGGTATTTGAGAAATATAGTTTAGCTCACTCACTATCACATACTTGACTGTCATTTTAATAATTATAATTTTGGTCTCAACGGATAACTATTGAAAAACAGATTTGTTAACCAGCTAAAACCAAGAGATGATTGTATTGTTCGACAAATTACATCAGCTTTTTCATTGTATTTTGCTGTAATTACTTTATGCTTTCAATTTAGAAAGTAACTGATAACCAAAGGTATACATTAAAAAAACATGAATAATTAAATGTACCTTGAAGGGATGTTGATAAATACAACTCTAGTCTAGCAAGTCTTTTTGCACAATCCTTCTACACTGAATTCTCTGTACACTCTCCAGGAGCCCATCATCTTCTCAGGCCATAGGCTGAGTAAAGAAGACGACTCCATCTGGTTCAGGTCTGCCGAAATGGAAGATAATGGTTTCTACACCTGTGTACTAAGGTAATGTGTGCATGCGCCCTTCGAGACACTTAAAGGTCGTCTTGTGTGAAACATCGCCATTTAAAATTGGTACTGCTATCATCATCTTTCTTCAGTTATATGATTGACTCAGACCACATGTACGACAGCAAAGCTGCAACTGTCCGCAATTATTGAATGGCCAAAGAGTGTAAACAAAACCAAGTTGACTGTTCACACATCTGCATTTGGATTTGTGGTCGTACAGCCGTTGAGTGAATTGAAACACAGCAGTATCCTTCCAATGCTAAATCAAAATCACCATTCTCTATCTCTTCTTGATTGAATTTGGCTTCCTCCTCTGCACCTTCTACTGCCTCTACCCCATCCCTCCCTCCAACTCACTTTTTTCTTTTTTCTTCCACACAGAAGCTGCTTTCCTCTATCTCACCAGCTTTCTCCATCTTCATATCATCTGCAGATTCCCCCCACCTTTTATTACATTCAGTGCATCTTCCTTCCTGGTCTGTCTGCACCAAATTCCATTTCACACCACCATCGTACCCCTCCACACTATCCGCCCACTTCCCATTCTTGCCAGGGCCTGACACCTATCCTCCTTAATAACCGCCACCCCCCCCCCCAACTTCCCACCCAGTTCCCTGCTCTCTCAGTATGACAACCTAATTAGGGCTTGGTGACTGTCATTGTCTGAGGGGCTGTTATTAACACCCTTTCTTACCCATTCTTTCTTTCTCTCTCTCTCTCTCTCTCTCTCTCTCTCTCTCTCTCTCTCTCTCTCTCTCTCTCACACACACACACACACACACGTTCACATGCACACATGCAACAGCCTGCAATACCAGAAGGTTCATGCATTGCTCGAAGACTTACTATCATGTGCAACAATACAAAGGTCACTGGTTGTACGTTCTTCAATTGAACAATTACCTTTGTACTTGTTGCTTATGTATGTATGTCTTTTTTCTGGCTGCTGAGAGTCCCGCGCAGAGTACTCCATCAACTTAAGTCTGTCTTATACGTAAGTTCATGCCAGATAAAGTATGTGCTCTGTGTAGAGCGACTCTAAAATGTGGGTATTCCCTCTCAAAACTGGCCTTGTGCACATTCCACCATCAACTTAAGCATTTTTCCTCCTACGTGTGCCAGAGGTTATAGAAAGTCAAGCATCCCAGGAAGGTGTAGTGTCAGATTGCACTTCAAGTTTGGATGCAGTTGCAATATATGTCAAATGTACAAACAATATTGTAACTAAGAAATCCAGTGTTACGTTTGGTCCTTGAGGTTTTCAGGTGCTATGGTCCTTCATTTTCTCACATTTATTTTGTCATATAGAATTGAACATGGACAGATATCTCTCGGTATTTAAGCTCGAGTTGCTCAGTGACACATCTCAACGTCAAGCATTCTTCCATGTTTACTGCATCCAGCCCTTCCCTCTATAGCCGTGTCCTGTCTGCATCTGGGTCCATATTCTGTGCCTCACATGACAGCAGACTCAGACACAATTTCCAGAGCAGACATGAGCAACTCCTGGGGTAGGTTATGCAATCTACCTTTCCACCACAGCTGTTCCGATTAATGTAGTAGCACATGATCAGAATAGATCGTGTCACATGCAGAGTTGACCGCAGATCTTCAATCGGAATTACTTCAATTGGATTGACAGAAATACTGACTAAAAAATTCCTATGCACAAAAGGTAGAATCTGGCTCTATATGTTCATGGCCAGTTGGTTTACATGGTGGCAACTTATGGCTTCTTCAATTTCCTTCTGTTCTAGCAATTCAAAGTTTCAGCCTAAAAAAATGTTCATAGCATGCGTTACCCGCAGTCACTTGGCAACGCTCTGCCCTATTAGGACGGTTATCCCTCGATTGCAGTGAGCATGTGTGTGTGTGTGTGTGTGTGTGTGTGTGTGTGTGTGTGTGTGTGTGTGTGTGTGTGTGTGTGTGTGTGAGGGCAGATTGTTACACAAAAAGGCACAATCTGAAGACACTATTTCAAAGCCAAAGGTGCAAAGTTGAACAAGCAAGTTACTTGAAAATAACATTTTCGAAGAACCAAGCTGCAGCAAAAAATGTGGGGGATAAAGAGACAAAAGCATAATGTGAGAGGGTAATTTTGAAAAAAAATATCAAGACACAAAGCTATATAGAGGAGGTTGGATTTGTGTTGGAGTGTTAGTGGGGAAGGAAGAGAGAAAGAAAAAAGGAACCTATTTCCTTCAAATGTCTGAGCTCCTCAGTCAGGGGACATTCTGTAGGTCTTAGAAGAGGTAACTAAGTGAAAATTGAGCCTCCCTCATTAACAGAAAAGAATAATATTAAAGTAAACAGAGCATACATGAGAGAATAAATACTCTCTCTGGAAAAAAAGAAAGAATGGGCCAAAGTCAAATGTGTCCCTCAAGAAGGTTCCACAGGCCATTTTTTGAGTGTATATCTAAAAAATTAACACCTTTTACGATTGCGTTTCAGTCTGGCCAAGAAAATAATCAGTCATGTATTGAGGTTTTGACAATGTAGAACACTTTACAAGCAGAGGTTGAGAGACACCATGCATTCGTTATCATTTTTTGTACTTAGTTTACCCTGATGACTTGCGCTGAATGGAAACAGCCAGCGGATGGAGGACGGAAAGTAGCTGTTGATACCGAGCCGTGCACACACCTCCCAATGAGTATCACTCTTGTCAGAACGGTACTTGGACTTAATATTTTTATCAGAGGCCCAAAAATGGTGCGCCAAATTCCCTCCTTCAGTCAGCTAGAAAGCACCCTGGGCGGCCCGACCGGCATGATGACTGGTCAGCTGGACATCCAGTCGCCACCCCCACCACCAACACACCATTTGGTAGTCGTGACATGCGCCATCGAATGGAAGGCTCCTCCCAGCAGGTCATTCTCCAGCGCTGGGGAAACCACACATCACCCGCTTCCTCCTGGCCTGCCCACTCTGCAGCAAGTCCGAGACCACCCGCCACAGAGCTGGCCGCAGAACAAACATCTTCCTCTCACTGTGTATGGAAATACTTGGCGTATTTGTTCCCCCAATCATTTTTATGCTTAATTTTTAAATTTAGAGTAGACAGAACCAAATGGAAACTGCTAGTTTTCCCAGTTAGCGGCCTTGTAATGCGCATACTCGTTGGGGAATGCAATAGGTTGAAAACCGACTGCCCTGTATGCCAATTAAGTGACAAATTTCACAAGGGCTGACATGACGGAGTGTACTTTTTTCTTTTGTTTAAATCATACACTGCCATTGATAGACAGTTATATAAATAGCATAAAAACTGGGAGTGTTAATGCCATGCGATTGATCGGCACCCCCTTCTTAGGCTACTGGTCGATTGCGAACGACGCAATGGGCAGCCCTGCCCTAAATTATATATTGGTGTGAATGTGTTTGGGTTTCTGTCGATTGCCTAGCAATCATTTCAGGGTGCACCACACCTCTTGGCCAGATTCACCTGGGCTTTGCTCCAGCTCACCCATGACCCTTATAAGGAATGAAGGAGAAGGTACAAGAAATGGATTGGATGGATGGATGGATCATACTGATGGCTACATCTTCTTACTTATTGTTCTCAGTTTTACCTTTCACTGACAACAATTCCAAGCAGCATGTAACTCAGTTTTACCTTTCACTGACAACAATTCCAAGCAGACAACAATCCCTCTTCAAATGATTTAATGGCGGCATGTTCCTTAGGTTATCCCGCGGCATTTTTATACAATGTATTCAGAGGCATGATATGTCTTGAAAAAGCTGTGCTCGGTCTGTTACATACACACTGGAAGTACAAGAATTGCACTCCTATTGCTTCGAGTCAATGAAAATTAAAGAATTGAAATAGAGTGCTCGGCTTTAAAAGTACCTTTCTGTTAGATCGAAATGATCTGGTATCTCCCATACTGTAAACAGAGGGCAGAAACAGTGAAACCTCATCATAATGCGGAACAACTATTGTCCATTCTCAAAATTTAATATCGCTTTTACAGAGGAAACACAATTTTACTCCAACCCACATTTTCACCTTTTATGTGAATTCTTCTCCATTTTTGGATGATTCTTATCCTCACATTCTGAAGTACGTAGTGCCATCTGTCCATCCAGTAACAAAATGCCACCCAGCAGTTTTAGTTGCCAACATTTCAAAAAAATAACCCATATATTTTTTATGGACGAAATGAAAGTATGGTCGATGGATCAACGCTGACGGATCTAAACATGCAAGCGGTTTGGAGTTGCTCCCCATCACAGCTTGTAGGAAAGCGTGTCCACATCCAGAGGATGATTTGGGAGTACAGATAGCAGTGATTTATGGGCCTGGTTCATAATCACTATTATACTTGCCAAAGGTGTTTGATGGAATTGAAATCAGGGTTCCAGACTCAACCAGAATTGAAAAGGAAATGCTTTCCCCAAAAATGTTTCCGTAATATTGGAAAAGTAAAATTGTTCAAATGTCTGAACTGAAATGACGTTTCTCTTCTGAAATGTCGGTGTCATTGTCACTTATAATTGCATGAGGCTGTTTTGCCATTTAGTTTTTGTCAATGAATTCAAACGAACAGCTGATTTGTTTGCCATCTGTTTCTTGGGGATGTGTGCGCCTCTGAAGCCTTCTTCTATCTCAACTGCTCCCATGTGGTCTTTCTCGTAAGCACAACCACCTGTCTTCCTGTACGGGATAATTACACTTCCATGAAAGCTCACACAAAAGAAACTTACACACAGTCACAAGAGTATTTTGTAATGCCAGACAAATGTTTAACCTTCTCTTCTTCAGATTTTTAACAATAACGAGAGCAAGCAGGCACAGGCCCGCACAATGACGATGGAAGAGGCAGTACAGGAGCGAAGGAGAGAGCGGTCATTTGAAGTGTCTTTGGCAGTCCTCTATGACTTGGCAGCCATTGAGTCAGAACCACTCTCATGCCAGTTAGGGCCACGTGCCAGTTCATGCCAGCTTGAGAGCTTGAGCCATGCTTTTGAGAAAAGAAAAAAAAGGT